AGTGATCTGCCTGTTTATGGGCTCCCAAGAGCTGGCATTATAGGCGGGCACCACTACCCCAGTCATTTGCCCTTTCCGAATGCCCTGGGGCTGGGGCCAGCACAGCAGCCTGGGGATTGAACCCCAGTCCCTATGCCTGCTTGCAGGTGCTTTAATCCGCTGAGCTATTTGGCCAGCTCCCCCTCTAAATAATTTTTTTTTTTTTTTTTTCGGAACTGGGGATTGAACTCAGGTCCTTGCGCTTGCCAGTCAAGTGCTTATTCTACTGAGCCATCTCCCCGGCTCCTTAAAGGACTTCTTAAAGCTAATTGTGAACAGCCTGGGTTCAATCTCCAGTACCACCAACACCAGTAAAGAAGGTAAATGAGCTCAACAGAGCCAGTGAACACAACAGACAAAAAAAAACAAAAACAAAAACAATGACAGTGCCTATAGTTAGCAGAATCAGGAAGGGGAATCCACCAAGAAAATGAAGCCAGTGATTAGTGGTGAGACAGGTGAGAATCCAAATTTATCCTAAGGAATCTAGAGGAGAGAGCTAATATAATCAACCAAAAGTTACTAAGAATAGCTAGACATTGCAGCATACACCTGTAAATCCGAGCAGCTAGGAGGCTGAGACAGGAGGACCTGAGGCAGCCTGAACTACATAGTAAGATTCTCACTAAAAAACAAAAAACAGCTGGGAATGTTGGTGAATGCCTATGATCCTTGGGAGGCCAAGAGAGGAGAATTCCAGGGCAGCCTGGGTTATGGAATGAGTTCAAGCCCAGCTTGACCTACATAATAAGACTGTCTCAAAACAAAAAACTCAAAACCAAAAAGCTACCAAGCGGCCAAGGAAAAGAAGGTCATTCAATACTCTCGAGATAGTAGAAAGATAACAGCGTTTTCCTATTTTGGGGGGAGGGGAGATTCTTTTTTCTTCTTTACTTCTTTTTTCTAATTTTTATTTTAAAGGATTTTTTCCTAATTTTCATTTTAAAGAGGAAAAAACAAAAACAAGTAACAAGAACAGACAAAAAACGAAAGCAACATAAACAAAAATGGTACAAAATTTCAAAACAGTAGGAAATCAAACAATGGTTATTATATTGTCTTTTTAAAAAATATTTGAAAAATAATGAAAATGTATTTGGTTGTTGCAGGTTCTCACTTCGCAGCTTGGACTTGTGGTGATCCTCCTGCTTTCAGCCTCCCCGCTGTTGGGATTACAAGCATGGGCCACTATGCCAGGACTCTGGCTGGCTGGTGAGGCTGGCTCTGCATGTGGTGCTGGGATCTAAGCGTGGTCCCTGCATTTGCCTAAGCAGGTGCTTTAGTCTGCTGAGCTGTCTCGCTGGCCCCATATTACATATTGTTATAATCAAATTTGTTGCTCAGATTACCAGATATAGGCATACAAGACTAATCAACTATACACTAACTCTTCATTTCAATAACCTTAATTATTTTCCTTGTCCTTTTTATTTTTTAATTCTTTTTTTTTTTTGGCAGAACCAGGGATTGAACTCAGATCCTTGCGTTTGCTGGTCAAGCGCTTATCCTACTGAGCCATCTCCCCGGCCCCTTTTAATTCATTTTTAAGATAGTATTAAAATAATTAAGACATTAGAAACAACACATTTAGGGCAGGCCAAATATCTCAGCAGATTAAAGCGGCCTGCAAGCAGGCACTGGGACCCATGGTTTGATCCCAGGCCTGCAGTGCTGGCCCCGCCCCTGGGGCACCCTGAGACCATTGAGACTGGGTGTGGTGGCACTCGCCTGTAATCCCAACTCTTGGGAAGCTGTAAACAGTTGGATCACTACAAGTAGGATCTAGTATTGAGATCCTGAACACCCTGTAGACCCTTCCCTAAAAAATAAAAAAAAATTAAAGAAGTAGGGATGTAGCTCAGTGCAAAAAGGGCCTGGATTCAATCCCAGTATGGGGAAAAGTAGGTGTCATTAAATTGAGTTGGAGCCTCCTCCCTGGTACAATGAAAGATGACCCAAAGAACCCCTTCTAGTGATGGGGTAAAGGTTGGGTCTTTCTCTGAAACCAGAGGAAAGGAAAAATGGAGATTGGTGGAAAGTGATGTTACCCTTCTGGAGGGGTGAGGGAAGTGAGTGACAGGAAGGCTGATGGAGCCCTTGGGTGGTCTATCTTTTAGCAGAGTCCAGAACTGAATTCGGCCACTGGGTCCAGCTTGCTGAGTCCTCTCCTCCTCTCCCTGTCGTGGGCCCTCATCCAGGGTGTGATGTGTGTCCCATAGAAGGTGAGTGTGTCGCCACTCGGCTGGAGGCTGTGAGGAAACTCTGTTATGTCTGGCTAGTGCCTCTAGCCTGGCCAATTCTCAACAGCTCAGAGATGGAAGAGGGAGCACATTTAGAAAACTCACTATCTATGGGTTGGGGAGATAGCTCTGTGGTCTGTGTGTGTGCTGTGCTGGTCTGGAAACTAGGACTGGTGGCACATGGCTGTAATCTCAGCACTGGGGAGGCTGAGACGGGAGGCTCACTATGAGCCCAAACTGCCTGCAAAGCAAGACCCTGAATCAAAGAAAGAAAGAAAGAAAGAAAGAGAGAGAGAGAGAGAGAGAGAGAGAGAGAGAGAGAGAGAGAGAGAGAGGCTGGTGAGATGGCTCAGTGGCCTAAAGCACCTACTTAGAACAAGCTTAGCAAAGCACAGGGACTGCGGTTCAATCCCCCAGCACCACATGCCAGCCACCCCCGCCCTCTGGTGGGCTGAGCTGGCCACACACACACACACACACATACACACATAAAATTAAAAAAAGAGAGAAAAGAAAGAAAAGATCACATTTAATGTAAAAGGAATTTAGGAGATGGGACACAGACTTTCATGATACAAGTCACTAATTTTTCTAAACAGGAAGGAAATCTTGAGGCTACAGCAACTGTCAGGTGGAAGAAAGAGGAAACCTCTGCAGGCCTCCTGGGTGCCTGGAGCAAAGAGCTGGCTCCAGGCTCTAGCCGTATTTCCAGGCAGGGCTGGTGCCAGAGGGCAAAATGGGTGGATCCTCCTAGCTGGTGGAGTCTGGAGGCCAAGTTCAGGTGAAGCAGGTGGTGGTTCTCTAAGGTATGGGGGGGTGGCCTGCACTAAGTTATAGAAGTGTTTTAAATTGGGATTCTAAATAACTAGGAAGCATGAAGAGATTTAGCAGGTGTCAGCAAGAAGAAAAGGACAAGGCTTTCCCAAAAGGTGGACGGCAGACTTCTCAGCTGCCAAGTCCCAGCTCAGAATGAGCTCTGGTTAGTGTGCAGATGGGAGGCAGAGAGGGCCATGCCAGGTCTCCTGAGCCTCATTTTGGTGTTTTTTTGTTTTTTGCTTTTTTAGGTGAGAGAAGGCCACTTCCACTCTGTAAGATGGGGGTTTCACAAGAAGAAATTGGAAGATAAAATGAAGAATAAAAGAAATATGCCCAACATGGTGGCACAGGCCTCTCAGTACTCAGGAGGCTGAGGCAGGAGGATCATGATAGTTTGAAAACTGCTTGGGTTACATAGTGAGTGCATGGCTGGTGTGAACTACACAGCAAGACCATGTCTCAAAAAACTAAAGATGAATGAATAAATAAATAAAAGCTAGTTACAGCCTATTTTTTCATCAGAGTTCTGTTGGAAAATCACATCACTAAACGGGACACCAGGATTTAGGGACAGAAAGGGTGGATTAGAAAGGAAGTTAGGTGACAACAGATTAGGAAGAATTGTAGAGTATTAACACATCTGAAATTTAAGATAGAATAGAAAACACCTAGAGATGACAGGTTTATTCACATCTCCTAAGTTGTTTTTTTTTGTTTGTTTGTTTGTTTTGCGGTACTGGGGACTGAACTCAGGACCTTGCGCTAGGCTGGCAAATGCTTATTCTACTGAGCTATCTCCCAAGATCCTAAATCCTGATAATTCTTTTATTTTATTAGACACGATGTTGAGCTTTTGTTTCAGAAAATGATTTAGAAACCTTTTTTCTTTTTATAAAATAATAACGATTAAACACGCAAAAAAAATTAACTACTTGTATTAGCACATATTTAAAATAGCCACACCTCCTCACTTTCGCCCTCTGCATTTGGTAATTACGACAAACATTAAAACGGAAGAAAAAACTAATCCGAACTGGACTGCCCTCTTGCGGCCCTCCCGGTGTTCGCAGTCTCAACCACGTTCCCTGGAAGCAGCTTTCCTTTCCATTGTTCTCTTTAAATACAGTACTGCAATGGGGAAAGACTAATACCGTCTGTAACTTTTGAGACTAAAAAATATAAACTTATCTTCTTCCCTCCTCCAAATTATTTCCAATCTTCTCCATGGGTTCAAGAACTGGAGCTAGGCAAAACCATAACCTAGGAGATGAGAGAGACCTACCCTACCGTTCGCTGTGCCCAGAATCTGAACATTCCGGGCGCACAGGCCAGAAGGGCCCAGGAGGAAGTCAGGATTACTCGGATTCGGCGCTGACCTCCAGCGCCTCGGCGGCTGGCATCCGAACGGGTAACGTGCGCGGCAGGTTATGTAAGAAAAGGGATGGCGGAGCCGCCCCAGCGGGAGCCCGGGAGAGAACGCCGTGTTCTCGGCTGCAGTCCCCACCCTCACCCAGCAGGGCAGGAGGCACCCAACTTGGAGGAGTGAGAGAGAAGGGAGGGGAGGGTGAAACAGAGGCCAGAGTCACGAGGGCTGGGCCACCGAGATAGGGGAGGACGCAGTGTCACCTCCCGAGCTCCACACACGTTGCAGACTTAAATCGTTGGCGATTTCCACGTGCTGTGCTCGTGAGCGGAGGTGCTCAAAGAGGGGGCAGAACCGGAGGTCCCCGGTCCCGAAGCACTCGCCTCCAGTCATACAGCCATTCTCAGAACGCTCGAGCCACGCGTTCCCCGTGCATCATCATCCTATTTAAGGACACGGGTTCCGCCCTCTTCCTCCCCTTCCTTTTTCACTCTTTTTCCATCCTCCTCGGTTTCTCACCACCTGGTTCTCTCCTTGAGCCGCATGTAGGGGCGGGGCATGGAATGCTTCCCTTTCAGCCACTCATCACCTGGCTGCTTTTCTATTGGCCGAGCCCCTGAGTGTTGTAGCAAATGGGGTGTGAACTTCAGCATCGAGAATCACGTGTTGCCGGCTAGACAACCAATGAAAGCGTGAGATCTGTGTACGCAGGGGGAGGCACGTGCAGAGCCGCACGTGTCTGGGAGGGGGAAGGGGCGGGTCTTGCCGAGAGGCGGAGGTGGTTAGCTGAGGCCGGGAGAGACGGAGGAGCTGCAGACAGAGTTTTTTAGGCTGAGCCACCGGACGGACACAGGTAAGGAGACAGAAGACACAGGCCGAGCCGATGGGGATAATTGGATCCAGGGGGCGAGGGTTTGGGGGACTGCATGCAGATTTTGTTATTAGGAGCAGTTGCATCACCGGGCTTCGGCGCCTGTAGAAGGACCAAAGCAGGGATCGTGATTCTAAGGGACTGGGAAGGACCAGGACGCCTGTTTCTGTGGGGGCGGTTCCCACGGGGACACTAGTGGGTTCCTGTGCGCAGTTTTACCGCTTACAGTGGCGTAGCTTCAGCCAGTGACACTCGCTTTGGGGTCGGGCTTGGGAACAGCCCAGGTGAACAGAAGCCAGAGGGGAAGGTGACAAGCCCAGGGTTTTCTCTAAACCGAGGAAGAATAGAACAGAGGCTGTGTCAGCCCAAAGGCTGCTCTGCAGAGGCCAGAGAAAACGTCCCAGTTTTTTAATAGGTGAGGATGGGGGAGATGATTTTTTTCTATTGTCTTTACTAGAGAAAAGAAAAAGGGGTGAATGGTTGGCAGTTCACCTGTCTCTGTCCATTTCTTAATCCTTAATCTCTGGTCTCACCTTCTCTCCCTTTGCTTTTCAATTGTAGGTTCCGATATTTGGGTACTCCAGCAGCTGTTCTCCAGCCCCTGCTTCTGAACCTATGGATTCTCCATCTAGTGTTTCTTCTTATTCCTCCTATTCTCTCTCTCCCTCTTTTTCCACCTCCCCAGTGAACAGTGACTGTGGCTTACCCCCTGATAGTGAAAGAGAGGAAAAGGGAGGCCATGGGCCCAGGCCCGATACTGTTGAGCAGAGAAGAGGTCCCCGGGTCAGCCCAGGTCCCATCCGCTGCAGGCATCCACCCAAAGTTTCCAGAAACCAACATACAGCATCTCACCTGGATCGAGGCTTGGCTTCTCCAGTGGCTGGGATGAAAAGATCAAGAGATTGTGATTTGGAAACCAATCTAAACATCCAGAGTTGTACCACAGAAGGAGACCTGCTCTTTGCTCAGAAGGTAAGAGAAAACTAGAGACAAAAGACAAAGGACCCTAAGAGGACTGTAGTGGTTCCCAGATTTGGAGGTAGAGGAACTGCTACTGATTCAGGAAATTCGAGGTCTTCTCATAGCCTTTGTCCTGTTTTCAACAGTGTAAAGAGCTCCAAGGATTTATTCGGCCCCTCACAGACCTACTGAATGGGCTGAAGATGGGTCGCTTTGAGAGAGGTAATTATCTGATTTAATTGCACTTTTAAGCCTGGCTCTTCCCTCTTTGTCTCTTTCAAATGTGAATGTCTTCTAAGTCTTTGGAGCCTGGATTATTCCTTTTTTGCTTCTGTGACTTTTAAGTGAATGAACTTTAACCCTTTTATGTCATTTGTTCACTTGACTATTTGCTGGACTCTTAATTCTTAATACCCCTCTCTCTATCCTCCTATCGCACTCCCAGGATTGAGCAGTTTCCAGCAGAGTGTGGCAATGGACAGGATCCAGCGTATAGTAGGTGTTTTGCAGAAGCCGGAGATGGGGTAAGTCCCCTAGTTCTTTCCTCAGTATCTCATTAAAAAAAGGAGCTGTTTTTTTCATACTGAGGTGAAAATGTCCTTTTCACAGGGAACGTTATCTGGGAACTCTACTGCAAGTAGAAGGGATGTTAAAGACTTGGTTTCCTCATATAGCTGCCCGGAAGTCGTCTTCGGGTGGTAGTAGGCGTCCGGTGACCAAGGTAAGAACTTAAAATTCTGAGGACCAAGTGGGAGAATATCCAAGTACATGCAGAAATACCACCCCCTTCCATTTTCTTCTGAATCTTCTACTTGTTTTCTTTCAGGGAAGGGAATGCCTCAACTTTTGCTACTGTCTTGATTCCTAGATGTATCCTATTTTCTTTTCTTTGGATCACTGGGCAGAACTCCATGAAATTTAGTCATATTCCTAGTGTTAAGCTTATCTGGTTTCTACATAGATACATAAAGCTTTTTTTTTTTTTTTTTTTTTTTTTTGAGGTACTAGGGACCGAACTCAGGATCCTGCACTTGCCAGGCAAGCGCTTATTCTACTGAGCTATCTCCACAGCCTTACATAAAGCTTTTTACTTGGCTAAATGATTCATGCAGAAAGATGCCTAACCTTTCTGTAAATCCTTTCTTCCTTGCTGTCCCTAAAACTTCCCCTCTCTTGTTGAGCCTTGTCCAGGTATCCTTGTACCAAACCCATTGGAAGTCTTTGAATCTATAACATATCTCAAGTACTAATTATAAGGGACACATCATTGGGAGTTGGAGAGAAGGTACATAGGAGGCCTCTACAGGGAGGAGTTGATAGATTCTTAAACTTGGTAGGGAAGTGACCTATTTTCTGTCCCTTCAAATAATACAGTATTTAAAGGACATTCAATTAATGAGGTGGAGAGGTGGGGGAGTTTTTATCTGTTTTCAAAGTTCCACAGCTATTAATGCTGTAAAAATAATTGATTAAAAATGAAGCAGCAGAGGCAGACATGGTGGTGCATGCCTATAATCTCAGTATTCTGGGAGGCTGATGCAGGAAGATTGCAAATTCAATCATAGTCTGGTCAATATGGTGGTGCTTTAATTTTTTATTTTATTTTATTTTATTTTTTTTTGTATTTTAGGGAAGGGTCTACAGGGTGTTCAGGGTCTCACTACTAGATTGGACTCTTAGTGATCCGCCTGTTTACAGCCTCCCAAGAGCTGGGGTTTTTTGTTTTTGTTTTTGTTTTTTTAAGAGCTGGGATTACGGGTGCATGCCACCATGTCCAATCTCAATTGCCCTCAGTCTCAATTGCTATCTCAATGCACCCTGGGGGCGGGGCTGGCACAGCAGGCCCAGGGATTGAACCCCTGGCCCCTGCACCTGCTTGCAGGTGCTTTAATCCACTGAGCAATTTGGCTGGCCCTTAAAAAAAATCTTTTTGGGGCCAGTGAGATAGCTCAGCAGACTAAGTACCTGTTTAGGCAAGCATAGGGACCAGGGTTTGTTCCCTAGCACCACATGCTGTGCCAGTCCCACCCCCAGGCATACTGAGCTAGCCACTGAGACTGGGTGTGGTAGTCTGTAATCCCAGCACTGGGGAGGGTGAAAACAGGATTGCTAGTAGTCTGAGCTGCATAATGAGAACCTATAACAAATAAATTTTTTAAAAAATCTTTTTGGGGGGCTGGGGATACGGCTCAGTAGCACAGTTCCTGCTCGCTTGGCAAATATGAGGTCCTGAGTTCCATACTGATAACAAAATAGAATTTTTTTTTTTTAATGGTCTGGCAATGTAGCTAGTGTGTAGGCCCTGGGTTCAATTCCTAGTACTTTAAAACGAGCAACAAACAGAATGTTGTCTTCATATTAATTTGTACTTCATGAAGAACTTAATTTGGAAAATTAGAATTTAAAATACAAAAGTTAGCCTGCAATCTCAGCTCTTGGAAAGCTGAGGCAGGAGAATGGCAATAAGTTTAAGGCCAGCCTGGACTACATAGTGAGATTCTGCCCCCTTCCCCCAAATAGCCAGGTGTGGTAACGCATGCCTATAATCCCAGCAATCTGGAGGCTGAGGCAGGAGGATTATTGTGAGTTTGAATCCTGCCTAGGCTACAAAGTGAGTTCAAGGCCAGCCTGAACTCCATAGTGAAATCTTGTCTCAAAAATACAAAAAATAAAATTAATTTAAAATTAAAAACATATATATAAAAATTAAGATGGGCATGATGCATACCCCTGTAACCCAAGCACTAAAGAGGCTGAGGCAGGATTCCAAGTACCAGGAAAGACTGGGCTACGTAGGGAAGTCAAGGTTATCCTGAGCTACATAATGAAACCCTGCTTCAAAAATAATTAAGGGGCTGGAGAGATGGCTCAGTGGTCTAAAGCACCTACTTGAAACAAGCTTGGCAAAGCACAGGGACCGCGGTTCAATCCCCCAGCACCACATGCCA